TCGAGAGCTTTCATTTGAGTACCCACATGCATTTTTGATATATTTTTCATATATACATATATATATAATATATATAAATATATGAAAAATTGATGTGGGTATTCAAATTAAAGGTCTCAATGAGTGTAATGTCGGGATCGGCTTATATCTTTAAAAATGTTATTAGGTGACAAAATACAAAGACATTTCGTAATTATTGACATTTTTTAAGATATAAACTCATTTCGATGTTACACTCATCAAGACGTCTCATTTGAGTACCCACATGCATTTTTGATATATTTCATATATATAGATATATATAATATATATAAATATATGAAAAACTGATGTGGGTACTTAAATGAAAGGTCTTGATGAGTGTAGTGTAAGGGTGAGCTTATATCTTAAAAAATATCATTAATTGACAAGATACAATGTCATTTCTTAATTATTGACATTTTTTAAGGTATAAACTCATTACGATGTTATACTCATCAAGACCTTTCATTTAAGTACCCACATGGCATTTTTTATATATTTTACGTATATGGTATTTGTGAAATATATAAAATATATGCGAATTTTTAAAAACATTTTTTTTTATAATAATTGATTGGTTATAAAAATTCCAAGAATTTCTAGATGCCTATACTAGTTTTAACATCATGTAAAAATTACAGGCTATTTTTGATAAATCTTATTCGCTGATTTTTCAAAATACAATTTAAAAAAAAAAAGAAGTTTAAATTTTACAAATAAAATTACAACTTTAAAAATACTTGTCCGATTGACAATAAATTTTCTATGAACATACTTAAATATATCTACACTGCAAAAATAAAATGAAAAAAAAAAAAATAATTTTCTAAAAATTCCAAGTGCGTACAACCCTTTAATTAATAAGTTGAAAGATGAATTATTAAAACCAATTTTTTTCAGATTTTGTGGTGGATGCAACGCACAGGGGCAACGAAATGAGGTTCGCTAATCACTCGATCAACCCCAACTGCTACGCGAAGATAATAATGGTTAATGGTGACCACAAGATTGCAATTTACGCGAAACGGGCTATTCAACCAGGCGAAGAATTATTCTTAGACTACAGGTACATTTCTTCCCTGAATAAATTAATTCCCTCCCACAAAAATCAATAAATTTTATTTTTTTATTTTTCTACAGTTATAGAACAACAGAACAGCTGAAATTCGTGGGAATCGAGCGCAAAGATCAAAAGCCCAATCAACAAAATAACTTCAAGGGTTCCAGTCCTTCACTCCCGTCATAAACCGCCTACATTTACCCCCTAATTCCACTTACACTGCCCAATAATTCTCAATAAATTCCACCACCCACAGTTCCGTCAAAGAAGACCAATTAAGTCCATTGATTACTTCTTTCACATCTCTAAATTGAAGACAAGGGTGTAAATAGATAAATTCTCCCTAATTAACCAAATAAACTATTTTTTTATTATTGAGAATTATTGTTTTTTTATTTCTATGTGGAAGTCATTTATATCTATATACTTGATTAACTTACCAAGAAACTTAAATATTGATAGAGGATTTATTAACTATTAATAATTTAATTTATTTGAAGATGAGTATTTAATTAATTAAATTTTAATGAATATTTTTTAACATTTTTAAGAATATTTTTTAACAAATAACAGTTAATAAATATTTTGTTGAGTGAATTTGTTTCTTTCAATGTCATATGATATGAAGATTATTTATGAACAAAAATCATCTTTATAAATTATTTGCATTAATTATATTACACTAGCAGCCTTGCAGTCACTATGTGACTGCCGTGACTTGTGAATTATAAATAAATGAAATTTTGCTTTATTAAATAATGAATTTTGTTAAATTGCACTGTACTTACTTAAATATTGACGTTTTTAAAGTTATAAGCTCATCCCGATGTTACACTCATCAAGAGCTTTCATTTGAGTACCTACATGCATTTTGATATATTTTTCATATATACATATATATATAATATATATAAATATATAAAATATTGATGTGGGTACTCAAATGAAAGGTCTCGATGAGTGTAATGTCGGGATGAGCTTATATCTTAAAAAATATCATTAGTTGACAAGATACAATGTCATTTCTTAATTATTGACATTTTTTAAGATATAAGCTCATTTCGATGTTACACTCATCAAGACCTTTCATTTAAGTACCCACATGGCATTTTTTATATATTTTATATATATGGTATTTGTGAAATATATATAATATATAAAATATATGAAAAATTGATGTGGGTACTCAAATGAAAGGTCTCGATGAGTGTAACATCAGGGTGAGTTTATATCTTTAAAAATATCAATATTTTTGCTTTTTATTTTAAATAAATATTTGTTAACAGTTAACGAATATTCATTAACCATTAATAAATAATTTATTAACTGTTAATAAAGCTTATTAAATATAAACAAATCCTCCTATCAGTGAATAAATTAACAATATTTACAGGCGACGTCACTTGAAACATCAATGTAACACTTGTTCCAGTACTCCAGTAGTCTTCCAGCCTATCGGTCCTATAATTCTAGACCGCACAGCGTTATAGTATGTACACTGTGTAACATCTATGTGTACTTATTAAATATATGTTATATGAGTGTGTATCATATGTAACAAATATATATTACACACTCGTGCGCGCTTTTGTCCTTCATCGAAGTTAACGCAAATGTAGTGAGTAGTGGGTATATATTTCCACTCGGAGCTTGGCAAAGGAGCTTGCACGCAGTCTGCCACCAGTTGCAGGCGCCGTGTGGCCGACGACACTCGCGGCCTTATATAAATACGCGGGTTTCACGGTTAATTATAATTGTATCTATAATTATGACAATTAAATTAAAATGTTTGTATTTTTAAAAATTTTTTTTTATAAATATTTATAATAATTTATTTATTTATTGAATAATATAAAAGTGAATTTCGTTTTTATTTTTTAGGGGTCTGGTGTAAAATTTTTTTTAAGAAAAAATAGAACAAGTTTTAATAATAAATTGATTTATTTTACTCAAGAAGAGATATAATCGTTGAGAAAATAACTAGTGAATTGTCGATAGAAAGTGCTATCAAGTTTTGTTTAAAAGTTTTACCAAGAGTTTATATATTATTCAGTTTTGTTTGAGAAGAACAAGAACTAGAGCAGGAACAAGTTCAAAGTTAAAGAAGATATTTAGTAAAATGGATGAAAAAGGTATGATAATTTAATGTATCTAATGGGGTATTATATTTTAATTTAAAATTTAATTATTTATGCACTAAAAATATTATTTTATCATTTTTTTTAACTAAAAAATTATTTAAAAATAAAATTTTTAATTTTTTTAACAAAAAAATTATTAAAAGGAAAATTTTTAATTTTTTCAATTAAAAAATATTATTTTTAATTTTTTTAACAAAAAAATTAATAAAAATTGTAATTTTTAATTTTTACATGTCAATTTTTTTTGAAACAATTTATTTCTTAAAAAAATTATCAAACATCTGCTACATTAATTTTTATAAATAATTATTCAGGTTTTTTATTTTATAAAATTAGAATAAGGGAAAAATATAAAATATATCATGAAAAAATGTGAATTTTAAATTATAAATTTAAATAATGGATGAGATTTATAAGGTGTGGAGATGAAGTGTTTTTTATTAGAGAAGTCGTTTATTCAATCGTCAGATTGTTGGGTTTTTTGTGGAGGACTGTATAAGATGTATAAGATTATTTGCAGGGTTTATATCCAGCAAAACACGTCGTATGTTACCACGACGCTCATTTCTGTCTTAAACTGTCGAGTACACGTGACAATTCAGTTTGTTATTACTTTAGGTACATTAAGGCGCAGGAAGTATTTTTTTAGTCAGAGGACATTATTTGTATTTATAGTTGATGTTTCAAGATATTTTTATTCAAAGGAATTTATTTAAAAAAAATATCTACTGATATTATAAAATTCATCAAAAAAATTTTTATTAATTAGAAAAAAATGTATTGTAATATTTTTAAAGTGAGCCGGATGAATCGAGAGCGGATTTAGATTAAATGAAATAAAAAGTAGGTAAAGGGAGTACAGTGAGTACTATACGTAATACTTAGAGAGAAAAAAGGGTTTTAGTTTGCGAGTTAAACAATGCCGAGATGAGAAAACAGCTGTCACTGGCATGATGTACGTTAATGTTTGTCCCTACTATTATGTCTACTACGTGTACTATACGCTATTACTTTCTTGTGAAAGCTCGACCAACCGTACGTAGTATGTAGTATCTAGTACGTAGAGCCAGCTCATTTACACACGCTCGTTTTATTTCTATTCCAAGAGCATCGTAATTCCACTCGCAGACGGAAATTTCTGCTGAAAGTTGATGAAAAAGATACCAAGTTACACTAAAAGGGTACTGGAGTTTTCCCTCGGGCGGATATAGTATAGTACCGACTCCAGACTCCTATCAGCTTGCATCCAGAGTTAGATTTGAGTTATCATATCTCCACTCTCTCTAATTCTAATCATTTCTTCTTTATTTTTCATATCACGTATTGATTGTCGAGTTTATATTTTATTCCTAGGTATTAAAGATTCTGACGGTACTCTTCTTTTTTTTTTTTATCTAAATTTTACAGTAATTTTTTAATGTCACAGGTGAATTATTTCATTCAAAAACTCATTAAAATATCGAGCAGCTTAATGTTGAATTTTTAAAGAAATTTTTGCTGGAAAAAGTTTTTTTTATTATTAAAATAGCAACCTCGTAGTCATTATGGGACTGCCGTGACTTGTGAGCTATAAATAAATAAAATTTTGTTAATAAACGATGACTTTTGTTAAATTGCACTGTAATTTTTTAACTATTGACGTTTTTAAAAATATAAGCTCATCCCGATGTTATACTCATCAAGAACTTTCATTTGAGTACCCACATACATTTTTGATATATTTTTTATATTTACATATATATATAATATATATAAAAATATATATTATATATATAAATATATGAAAAATTGATTGTCAATAGTTCACAAGATATAAGGTCATTTCTTAATTATGTATCTAGAGATAGAGCATTTTCGAATGCAGCCTAAATACTTATTATCATAACTGGCCACAAAATTTTGCTTATTCTCTTAGTAATATAGATTATTTAAGCGTGTAATAATGAAGATAATTAAGTTAAACAATTAAATTGAAGAAATTGCTTGAATAAAGTTAAAGGTTTGATATTATTCACCGCTGCTCTTGAACTAGAATTAAAAACAATTGATAGCTGACCTCTGTACGGGTATTATGGGAGTATTTATGTCTTAGTCTAGCCATTCGTAACAATTATCGAGTAATAAAATCCCGCGGATGGATCTGTATCGTTGAATATCAATTTTCCGGCTCGCGTTTGTTAATAAAAAGATGAATCATGACCGGTTGATAAATTTCAGGATTATTTAATAATTTATTATTGCTGCGGAAGACAATTATTTTGCGAGTTGGGGAATTTATCGCGGGGTATTATTGATGTTTTTAGATTTTTCGAACGTTTTTAAAATATATGATTGATGAGAAAATAAAAAAAAATATTTTTTACCAGAAGAAATAGATGAAAAATACTTATCTGGAGAGTTATTTATGTCTGTACATTCTTCTTCGCTTATTTTTTATCTTTATGATGACTGTAATACTTTCTTCGCTTGATAACTTTTTTAAGTTGAGTAAAAATCGAATATTATAAATAATAATAATAAAATTTAAGCCAAGATTATTATTATTATTGTTTTTTTAAGTGAAATGTTGAATATAAGAAAAAAATATAAGAAACCTTTTTTGTATAAAATTAAATTTTTTATAAAAAAAGATTTTAATTAATTTTTTTGTATCTTTTACATTTTATACAGAACATTGAATTTAAAAATAAATAAAAAAATTTTTTTATTATGTAATAAATATGAATGATATATTTTATGTGAGAAAGCATAATTATAATTGATAATAATTGAATATAAATGCCGGTTAATATCTCCCCTAACGAATTTCAATGGTAATTTGTTTACGCGCTTATTATCACGATAATGACCATTGAGGTCAACACATTGGGGACAATGGTTGTAAATTTGACGGTTTAATTCGATAACACCGACAGATAGGAATACTTAAATTGTTTACGATAATTGAGCGGATATTTTACCAAGTTAATTATATTTAAACTGTGATGAGTTTCTGAAAGCAAAATAAATTTTAAATCTTCAGATTAAATGTATGTAATGTAACATTATATTATAAAACGCTATAAAATAAAATGTCATTAAATTAATGTAAGATTGAAGCGCGAAAAGTATGATACTGGCGCACTTACTCTGTAAATATAGACGGGGTTAAAAATAGAGTTTTGTGGGTACATTTTCAGTCTGCTGAATAATAATAGAGTAATAATGCAATTTTTAAAGCTAATTGCCTATAATTGAAAAATCTACTTTTTTTTACAATAATAATAATAATAATAATAATAAATATTGTTATTATTTTAAAGAAACTATAATAAAAAAAAAATTTATTTCTCAAGCTTGTTTCTAGTGATGATAGACAGATGGTGATAAATTGTACTTTTCTTGTTTTCCATTTATATGTTTTAGTTTTTTATGACTTGTTTCGTTTCTTCAAGGCTTTTCGATGTTTATTTTTCAAAGTTGGATTTTCCAACGTGCGACGACTCTCAAACATCCGCCTTCAAGTATGGAACACGGAAGTATTACTTCCTCAGAAATGAAACTTTGACAGAGTAAAATATCGGATATTTAGATTTGTTTTTTTTAAATTAAAAAAAAAATAGTATGAGTCATACTTTTCCACATTCACATTAAACCTATTTAAACTTTATTAGACTACATAATTAATAGAATAAGGCGAAAATTTTTTTTTGTGGTATTTATACGATAAAATGGATTTTTTAAGTTTAATTTAGGACAATTGGAAAATCCTGACCTAAATATATGCCTTTTAAAAGTTTCATGCGTTTTTTATCGATAGTCAATTTTAATAATAAATTTTTTAAGTAGTTATTATTATTATTAATTTTTAAAACAATTTAATAATTTGTATATTTAATTTTTTTTATAGTAATAATAATAATAATAATAACTTAGAAAAAATTTTTATTTATTGATTTTTTAATTTAGTCAATTAAAAATTAATTCAATATAAATATGACAAACAGCTACTTTTTATGTTGAAACTTTACTAAAAAATATCACTCATCTATATTAATATATCTTACCCTTTTTAGAAAATCGTAAACTGTAGATCAATAGCTTGCGTCAGAAGTTTTATCAGAAATTTCATTCAATAAATAAAAAATAGTTTTTTTATATCAAATTACAAATTTATAGAAAATTTTGAAACTAGTGAGACTTAGAAAATTATTTTTTATTATCAGTATAAATATTAACAATTTATCAATAAATATTAGAAATTTATAGTGTAAAAATAAAAATAGTAACTCAATTTATAAATTATTAACAAAGTCACTCTAGAAGTGAAAGCCGTAGAAAATAAATATTAGACTTGTCATGACCATAAATCATATATTTATGGAATTTATGTACATACTTACTACCCTGAAAATTATGACCTCGTCAGAGACATTTTGTCGGGCTATGCAAATAAATAGATAAATAAATAATTATTGTATAGTACTGATGCTAGTGAAATTATTATGAATTACACTCAGTTTTTTTTTTTTTTTTTCAACTAATAAATCGAATCTAAAAAATTGCATTTATTTTCTTTTTTTAATTTCTAGATACAGAATTTTTGTATAATTTTTTTTATTAAAAAAAAATTTCTTTTCTACAAAATTTTAATTTTTTCTAAATTTCAAACTATTAATTATTTTTTTATTAATATTAATAAATTAAAAAAATCAAATCTATTTTCTAAAAAATATATTTTTTTCCAAATTTACAAAACCAATACATTTTTTTAAATTTTAATTCATCGGTAATTACAAAAAAAAAGAGAAAGAATTGATAAAAAAAAAATAAAGAGTTTATTTAAAGTTGATATTTATCTTCCAGTCAACTAAAAGTGAGATGTAAACTGTACTCTGTAATAAATATTTATCTTCCGCAGATTCTGTCAGTAAAACATACAACATACAAAATTTCCGCGATATACATCCCGAAGTACATACCTAGTACTATTTATCTTGTTAATTAACCCAAACTGAGAAGTTTAATGGATAGATAATAGGGCAGGAGTGGTATGGGCTTACAAGTGTGATTCGACTCGCTATGAATAGAGCAAATCAGTGAGATTTATTTCGGTGATACTCTCATGCACCTCGTGGTATTTAAATTAACCAATTAACAGTAATTGCAGTCTGTAAATCGTACAAATAAATATATACATAAATATATAGTCACTTTTCAATCTAAATTTTTATTTTTATTTCTTCTTCAGTAAAACTAGAGAAGAAATATATAATTTATAAAAAATGAATTAAAATATTTAATTATAGTAAAAAATTCAAGTTTTCAATTTTTTAATATTAAACTTTTATAAAAATTTATTAAGGTTATAATTTTTTTAATTTAATAAATTTTTTTTATTAAAAAATTTTCAAAAGATTATTTAATAAATATTTTTTTAATATTAATAATTATTTGAACCTTTGAATTAAAAAAAGCGTAAATTTTATTTAGATAAATTTTCTAATTGCTCCAGTAGTATAAAAAAAATTAAATATATTTTTATTTTTTATTTTTTCTTGGGTAAAACTAGGGAAGAAATATGTAATTTATAAAAAACAAGTTAAAGTATGTAATTGTGGTAAAAAAAAAATATTGAATATTTTTTAAAAGCTTTTTTATAATAATAATAAAAATATCGGTTTTAGGTGATGCGTTGGATATTCCCCGAGAAGAAACGAGTGTAGAGGAGCTTCAAGAGTTACCGGATAGATACGAGGGTAAAGTAACGGCTTCTCTTTACACTAGTACTCTCTTCATAGCTGCAGCGGCTTCACTCATCGCACTCATCACCTTGTGTGTATTGCACTCAAACGTAAGTGCATTCATATGATCTTCAGTCTATATATTTTTCATAAATGTAATGTCTCGCTTATTTAAAATTTTATCGAGACAGTTTGAAACTTTGAAGAGATCTATTTTGCAATTGACATCAAAATTTTTACTAAAGATTTTTTTTTTTAATATCATTTTCTTTTTTCGTGTCCCTTAATATAACTGACACAGTTACTTATGATATCGAGACTCGTTTACAATTCCAATTATTTTCTTTTCATCCGCAAAGAGAGAGAGAGAGAGAGAGATAGATTGAAAGAAGATTCTATTATTTATGTGATATGACAATAGACTGGAGCTTTTTATTCGACATTCATTGAGGGTAAAGAGATATGTAAAGGTATATCCAGTAGCATAAATATAATGAGGCGATGGTCATTTCTTTCAAGGTTGTATGTACCTTCTAGGCCAAATAGTAATTTATAATTTTCGGCTGCTCTATTTCTTAAATCTTTAAAGTTTGAGAAAAAATTTAATGGAAAACTCGAGTTTTGAAACAAGATAAAAAATTATTTTAATAAAAAATAAATATCAAGCCTAAAATATTGTAATTTCTGTCAACATCTATCTAAATTTAGACAGAAAAATTTATTTTTATTTACAGAAGAAGTAAACTAATTATTGTTCACGTAATTTAATAAATTACTGATCTATTGTCTCTCCGCTGGATTTAATTACATTATATTGGGTATTAATATTGTAAAGCTGCGGGATAAACTCCAAGCCGAGAACTAGTTGCACATATTGTGTTACTCAAAATCAAACAGCCTGTACTACCACGTAATTTAAATTTTAACTCGATGGTACACTGCAAAATTTTATTATTATTTACTACATTAATGCACCCTCAAATAGTGTCCATGTTTGTCTGTAATAATTAATAATTAATAGCATATCAAATATTTAGATTTTTACTGCAAATATTTTATCGATTAAAATTATCCAATATAAAATCAAAAGAAATCTTATAAATTTTTTTTATTAATTATTATTGTAAAATTAGTTGAGAATTTTTTATTTCTTCTTGAAGAAATAATTGTAAAATTTTTTTTTGTTTACATATTTAAAAAATTAATACAAATTTCTAAAAATATTTATTTAAAAGTGAAATTAAAAATCTTTTAAGTAAAATTTTTTTTTTTTAAATAAATTATTAATAAAAATTTTGCTAAATTTAATACTTTAATTATTGCAAAAAAAATTTTTTTAAGTATATTGCTTACTCTGAATAAATGTTTTTTAATTAAATTTTTTTTATTAACAATCTTTTAAATAAATATATAAAAAATCTTTTTAAATATTTAATTTATAAAATTTTGAATTAATTTTTTTAAAAATTATAATTATAATTTAAATAAAAATTTTTCATAGTATTTATTAAAGAAATAAAAAATTTCATAGAAAAATTTATAAAAGTAAAATTACTTAATTCGCTAAAAATTCATTTTTAATAATTAAAAATTTAATATTTCTTCCCAAGAAATTAAAAAAATATAAAAATAATCGTTCAAATTTAATAAAATAATAAATAAATTTATCAACAATTCCTAATCTCTTTTATCAACGTCAAAAAAAAAAATATCTTTTCTATTTTAAAATAAATATTTACAATTCTCAACTCTCGTAAATATTAATAAAGCAAAAATAGATATTTAAATTCTTATCTTTGTCCCGCGAGTCCATTAAACATCGCGTACGCATTAGACCGTGTTCTCCAACGTTAACTGGAACACAAATGTTAATATTTTGAAAAGGGATTACGAGATTGTAGTTAAAATCGCCTGTGGCACCTGTCTCCGCACAACCTTCTTTCTCTTTTGCTCCCAGCAGTGTCATGCTCATAGCTTTAGTTTATTTTCACAGTTAGTAGCTCGAGTATGAATCACAGCATCTGAGAAACCAAGTTGGGACCAGAGGGTTACCCAGAAGTTTTCGCGACACCTGGCAAAATCTCTCACATGAAATTCAGATCTAGATTAAATTAATACAACAATATAAATTGCTTCTAGTAATTTTTTGCCGATAAATTTAAAAATTTACGAATTTTTGTCCGCTTATACGACCGATAAAAATGAATTTCATGTTCGGAAACTTTTATTACAAGGTTAAATAGCTTTCAACATTTTAACAGAATTTTTTTTCATACTCTCAAGCTTTTTTTTGTTCAATTTTTAGTGCGCTAATGGAAAAGTTTTTTTTAACTTTTGATAAATTATTAAAGCACGTTGTTTAAAAGAAATGAACTTGTGAGTAATAGATTAAATTTTCGGAGTTAATTGGAAATTATAAAGAGAAAAGATAAAATACTTGGTCGTTTTTTTTTTTTTTTTTTTTTTTATTAAAAGCTTGTCGTGGATCTTTGAACTCTCTAGCCAACGAGGGGATAAAATTGTGAGTGTCTAAATATTATTGTGTGGGGAATGTTAATCTGACAGCTAAAGTTACTTAGATTGATTACATAGGCTTAATAGTACGATTTATAAGCAGTAGCAATAGCGGTAATACTTTATCTGGATCAAATTTATCGGAAAAAAAATAACAACTGATATTTTTCATCGAGAAAAGTTATTTTATATTTAAGGGAATTAATTTCAGATTTTTTGGAAAATTTAAAGAGATTTTTTTGTAATAATAACACTAATACTAAACTAAATAGACGAAATTATTTGAAAGATCAATTTTTAATATTAAATAATTTTTAAAAATGAAACATTATTAATATTTAAATTTAAATCAAAGACAGTGTCAATTTTTATTTGAAACTTTTTTTAAAATTATAACATATTAAATCTTTTATTTTCTATCGTAAATTATATTCCAATAATTATTAATTGAAAATGCAAATTTTTTTAGTTAAATTCTGCAAATGTCCATTAATACAAATAATCAACTGCAATAAATATTGTGGATAAGTTTCAGTCCAGAGACTTAAATAATTATCTACAAATTACCAAACATAATTATTTTTAAACTTTGTAAATAAACAAATCAACTATTGATAAAATAAAAACTTAAAATTCCACTAAGAAAAATGATTAATTATTTAATAGTAAATTGTCTGGTACTTTCAGTATCATGACTAATGTCTAATAAACTTGATAATTAAAATTTTAAGAAGAAAAAAAAACCATTTAATTACATTTTTATGAAGAATCTGATGATTTTTTTATATTTTGTTTTAAACAAGATTTCTTTAATTTAATTAATTTTAATCCGAAATGTAATTATTTCTTTTTATCTACTTATTTTTAATGCAATATTGAATTTTTTTTATTTAAAATTTCCATTCAATATCAATTTATAAAAATTTAAATTTTCAAAAATTCTTTAGACATTTGAAGATGTTAATTATTTTTTACCGAAAATATTTTCTGATTATTTTTCAAAATACAAAAAAAGAAGAAAATTAGTTAAATAATGACTGGAGTTCATAATTCCTTACCGTGAATCCTTTTTAAATGATCATTAAGATTAAATTTGTGATAAGTTCTCCAATTTTCACAATACGGACAAACAAATTTCTTCTCTTTGCCACACTGGATCCTTACATGTCGATTTAAATGATGTTTATTTTTGTAGGACCGCGAGCATTTACAGCAAGAGTAGCGACCGTCGACAATTTTATAACGATGCACAATTTCTTTAGTTGTCTTCTTTGGCTTAACGGGCTTCACAGAATTTTTTGAGGGAATTTTCGCCTTATTTTCTTTAGATTCATCTTTAAATTTCGCGCTTTGGTCAATAGTTATTTCTTCAGGCTGTAAATTATTTTTCAAACAATCAAAGGAGTGTTTATCACGTTGGCGCTCGCTATTGAACGTCAAGTTGCATTTTGGATTATGACACGCGTATTTTATATTTTTTATCTTCAGTTGTTTCAAATCATCTTCTTGTTTAACTTGGAAAATTTCTTCATAGCCTGGGAAGTTGTTGAAGCTCGTTTCCATGGTGGTTAATTCTGAAACAATTTTATTTTTGGTTAATAATTGAATTTTTTTGAGGAATTAATATTCAAAAATATTGATTAATAATTATTTAATTAGTAAAAAATTACTCGATTCTTTTCTAATCAACTAAATTTTATTTATTAAAAATTAAATAAGAGAAAAAATAAACAATTGGATTATTTGGTTCAGAAGACAAGTTATAAATTATTTCTTCACGGTTTAAATGAAATAATTAATATAACTACTTCCAAATAACGCTCAATAATAATTTGGCTTTTCTTAATTTTGAAGCAAAAATTTTTTTATAAACATTTTTTACACTAGAAGGGTACTTAAGAGCGGAATTAAAATAAAATTTATAATTTTACAGAATCTAAGCGCTGTGGTGTTCCAAATATCAATTATAACGATAATGGTAGTGTCGTCAATAAGCTTCTTAGTGGTCCTGCAGTTCCCCATAATTCTGACCTCAGGACGAGCGCGTTTTATCATCGGATTGTCAGCCTCTTTGGTCCTTGGAGTTGCTGTGTCAGCTCTCGGCGGTGCATTACCGCTCTTCATCACTGTCCTGACAATAATAGCAATCTTGCCACGTATCAACAACAATTACTACCCAAGCATCATCGCGTTTCTTCTCGCCGGGTCCCACATTACACAGGGGATAATTTCCTGCACCGTCGACCAGCCCGCTCACGCTTGCTACCAGGTAAACACTGAGCATTAAGCTCAACAGTCAATTTATTTTTACTCTCTTTTATTTTTTTACTCTCTGTACACTAGGCTACTCTTTAATAGCCTAGCTGTCAGTGCTCTGTAACGCGTGACAATCTATCGACATTTAGTCGGTCAGTCGCCAGTCTACATAAAATATTTTTTTATGTTTTTAAACTAGGTTGTCGCGGATGGTGTTCTACTGCTTTCCGCTTGTCTGGCTGGAATTTATTACAGAATTTTGACCGCGCAAGCTCACAGGCAAACATTTTCAGGGACTAAAACTGTAATTGAGTCAAGGATTAAGCTTGAATGTGAAAGAGAACAACAGGAACAATTATTATTAAGTGTAATTCCTGCTTATATTGCTGCGGAGGTAATTATTAATTATTATTTTTATTTAATTATTCATTCTTTTTTAAAGGAAAAAAAAATTATGCAGTCAAAAACTTTTTTTATTCCATAAAATTATTATTATCTATATTATTAAGATAATAAGAAAAATTTTGACTGATAAATTTAGGCTGCATTTGAAAATTTTCTATCTCTAGATACATAATTAAGAAATGACCTTGTATCTTGTGAAATATTGACATTTTTAAAGATATAAGCTCATCTTGATGTAACACTCATCGAGACCTTTCATTTGAGTACCCACATCAATTCTTTATATATTTATATATATTATATATATTTCACAAATACCATATATATAAAATATATAAAAAATGCCATGTGGGTACTTAAATGAAAGGTCTCGATGAGTGCAACATCGAAACGAGTTTATATTTAAAAAAATGTCAATAATTAAAAAATCACCTTGTATCTTGTGAATTATTGACATTTTTAAAGATATATAAGCTCACCCCAACATTACACTCATCAAGACCTTTCATTTGAGTACTCACATCAATTTTTCATATTTTCATATATATTATATATATATATGTATATATGAAAAATATATCAAAATGCATGTGGGTACTCAAATGAAAGGTCTTGATGAGTATAACATCGGGATGAGCTTATATCTTTAAAAACTTCAATATTTAAGAGAGTACAGCGTAATTAAAAGTAATTATTTATTAAAGCAAAATTATTATTATTATTATGATCATCTCAAAAAATAATTTTTAACTTGTCAAAAAAATTTTGATTTTTCTTAAAAAAGGTTTCTTATTATTCTTTCGTATTATTAATATTTCGGCGAAAATATCAATAATAATAATAATTTCTTAAACAGAAAATTTATTATTATCATTGTTTTATTGATCAGTTATATAAATATATATACGGGTATATATTGATTAAATGAACCTAAAAAGTTAAAATTATAGACAGTGAACAATTAACTAATCATAATTCAATTAATTGAAAGTATCGATATAAGACACCATTAGATCTAGTTGTCGCAAGTTAGACCCCTAGTTTGTAAACTTGCTCGTTGAGTAATTGGATGATGTTACACTGAGGCTTTAGTGCGGTATATGAGAATGATGGTTATTACTTGGAAGCTGGCTTCCAAAGATCCATATCTACCATACCTCGAATTTTTTTTGTGAGTGGGTCATTAAAGGTAATTTAACATGACAGATATCGAGGGATGACATCACTAAAAAAGGTCATCTTCTCTATCAGAGATAAAGAAAAAAAAGAAGAAAAAAATAGTAACCATAACTCTGATGTAATTTGCATAATTCGGAAAAATCAAAAATTAATGACTTGAAACGATGTGACGTAAATCCTCGACGAAATTAAAAAAAATGGAAGACGGATGAAAAATCCGGGGAACGTGAGCTGGTTTCCGATGGTATAAATTTAATAAAAAAAAAAAAAAATAAGTACCGAGATTCAAGGCTGTCACAAAAGTTAACGCTTTAATTTATAGCAAAGAATGTCAGCTAGGAAAAGTATAATCGGAAACTGGATATAATAGTCCAATCTTGAGAATGTTAAAATTGTTAAGTACCTGACAATCACGTCTTGCTTCTATTTGCTAATATCAATCATTCGTGTCACTTATTTTAATTTTTTATTGGAATTTTCCATAAGGTCTCAGCTGTATTGCTTTAATGCTCTTTAAGATCACACAATTGAATTATCGAGACGGTAAAAAGCTTCACAAAATCGTAAAAAGCGAATAAAATTCCTGTAATGAAGTTCTTTGAGTTTGCTTTTATGCACGTTAAGATGAAAAGTTTAGTAACGACGTGACTTTTTCAGTTCCGACGATTGATCATCTGAATAATAAAATTTTGTGTAAAGGTACTCGCGAGATCTATGGAGAAATTTTATTTATAAGTTTTAATAAACTTCTTTGTTGTTTTTTATAACAACAAAAATAATAACTAGCAATCTTGCAGTCACTATATGACTGCCGTGACTTGTGAACTATAAATAAATGGAATTTTGCTTTATTAAATAATGACTTTTGTTAAATTGCACTGTACTTTCCTAAATATTGACGTTTTTAAAGATATAAACTCATCCCGATATTACCCTCATCAAGAGCTTTCATTTGAGTACCCACATGAATTTTTGATATATTTTTCATCCATACATATATATATATAATATATATATAAATATATGAAAAATTGATGTGGGTACTCAAATGAAAGGTCTTGATAATTGTAATGTTGGGATGAGTTTATGTCTTCAAAAATATCATTAGTTGACAAGATTCAATGTCATTTCTTAATTATTGACATTTTTTAAGATATAAACTTATTTCGATGTTACACTTGTCGAAACCTTTCATTTAAGTACCCACATGGTATTTTTTATATATTTTACATATATAGTATTTGTGATATATATATAATATATAAAATATATGAAAAATCGATGTAGGTACTCAAATGAAAGGTCTCGATGAGTGTAATGTCGGGGTGAGCTTATGTCTTTAAAAATGTCAATAGTTCACAAGATGCAAGGTCATTTCGTAATTATTGACATTTTTTAAGATATAAACTCATTTTGATGTTACACTCATCGAGACCTTTCATTTGAGTACCCACATGGTATTTTTTATATATTTTATATATATAGTATTTGTGAAATATATATAATATATGAAATATATGAAAAATTAATGTGGGTACTCAAATGAAAGGCCTTGATGAGAGTAATATCAAAATGAGTTTATATCTTTAAAAATGTCAATATTTCACAAGAAACAAGATCATTTCTTATGTATCTAGAGATAGAGTATTTTTAAATGCAGCTTAAATACTTATTATAATACAAAATTTTTCTTATTCTCTCAATAATATAGATAATAATTATTTTCATGCAATTAAAAAAAATCCTTTGAGTATTTAATTTTTTTCCCTTTGAATTATAAATAATTGCATTAAATATAAATAAAACAATTTAAAATAGAAAAATAACAAACATTATTAAATAATTAACTCTTAAAAAAAAAGTAATAAAAATTGTCCTTTGTCTTTAAAAATTCTTTTTATCACAAAAAAAAATTGATCCGATTAACCAGTAATCCTATCTATGAATTTTTATGAATGAACAGAGACAAAGAGCACATGGAATGAAATTCAGTCTCTAGAATTAGAACTAACGTTTGTTAAATCTTGTAATTAAATATCTTTTTCATAAATCCCGTACAGAAGCGTGGGGTATATAATAATTCGTTAAATTACTTCTGTTACCGTCTCAATTGTGAACGCGATCGCTTCTATTCATATTACGGTCATATTATATTTAGACATGCATATATATATAATGACAAAACTAAACATAACACTAAGAGTGCATATTGAATTAATCAAACACTATTAAATGTCAGCATACACATAACACACCTGTATGCATATTAATCTACATTATATAGATCATAACTTGCACTAGAATCCTAGCACTCTATTATATCCAGAATTAGTATTTAATTTACACGGTCTTTATTACCAAATATTAACATGACAATGCACACACTTGTGTTGCTGAATTGTGATGTATTTTGGTGCAGGTGAAGCGCAGCATTATGCTGAAGATGGCTGATGCGTGCCAGGAAGTCAGTAAGCACAAGCCGACACGTTTTCACGAAATGCATGTTCAACGCTTCAACAATGTCAGGTAAACTCTATTTATATATTTGTACTTATAAGTGTATATACGTGTGAAGAAACTTTCGCTAAATTACTTATACATGTCACGCATAATCCCTTTGTACATAAACTTGTATAATAGCAAACAACAACTGACAACTAAAATATCTTCACTACAAGATTATTTATTCAATTTTAAGTTCATTTATGTTTTGAAGTCTTGACAAATTTAACTTTATAATAATATATAATCCTTTTTGTATTGTCATTCTGATTTTATCTAGAGTTTTCAGGGAAGATTTACTTTTATTAAAAACTTTTCTTCTTTTTTTTTTTAATTATTATTTTTAATTATAACTTTGAGATAAAATTTAGAAAGTGATTTCAAAATTGAGAAAAAAATTTATTAATTGTTTTTTTTTTTTCAGAAAATTTTTAATTCTATTTTTTATTTTTAGCAATTTTTTTATGTTTAAAGTGTAATAATAAAAAATTTAGAAGAAAAAATTTTTAAAAATGTCATTTAACTTTCTTTTTAATTGAAAACTTGGAAGTTTTCTTCATTTTTTGCTAATTATTTTTTTTAAATAAAAATTGACACTTAAAATTTTTTTTTTCATTTTCAAAGTGTAAAATAATAAGTTTAGAACAAAAAATAAAAAAAAATGTACTTTATAATTTTTATAAATTTTTTTAGTAATTAAAAAATTGAATTTAAAGTTTTCTGCATTTTTTTGATATTTAAAGTGTAAAAATAAGAAAATTCTTTTAATTAATTTTTTTTTTAATAAAAATTTACACTCAAAATTGTTTTATTAATAAATTTTTTTTATTTTTAAAATTTAAAATATAAAATTTAAAGCAAAAAATTAAAATAAATGTCATTTTTGATTTTCATACACTTTTTTGTAATTAAAAAATCAAAATTTGAAATTATTTTTTTTTTATTCTAATTTTGATGAAATTTAAGAAAAAAAATTCTATATATCATTTTAATTAATTGCAATATTGTAAAAAGTTACTGAAAAATTTTATTCTAAAACAAAAATATTTTTACTTTAATAAAAAAAAATAAAAGAAAATTAAATGTCAATTTTATGATAAAAAAATATGATTTAGGGTTGGGAAAAAATGATCACCTAAGGCGATGTAGTAAATTTCTTTTAAAAAAACAATTTTTTTCTTTTAAGTTAAGAAGCTACTTAAGTATATAAAAAAAAAAAAATTATAAAAAAATGAATCTTTATTAAGTAGCAATAAATTTTTTTTCTAGCATACTGTACGCAGACATCGTTAACTTCACTCCACTTTCGGAGCAATTATCAGCGTCGGATCTTGTAAAAACTTTGAACGAACTCTTTGGAAGATTTGATCAAATAGCTCAGGTATGTACACAGTAAAATAAAATATAATATAATAATGGTTTTAATTACAATTGATTTACCAGATACGGGCTAGAGAAAAAGGATAAAAAAATAAAATTCTTGAGATAATGATATTTGGAGGATAGAATAAGACAGAATATTTTATTGAAATAGAAAGGAAATATCGAGTTGGGATGTACTTCAGCCCGAGGATTGAGAATTGGATTTTCCTGGGGTATAAAATGGCTTTTTTGTTTATTCACTCCACCTACATATACACCCATTTTATTGGATTGGATTTAGACAGACAATTCCGTTTTGTCAAAATTTAATTGTGGGCTAGGTCGAATCTATTTTTCGGATCATTAATAAAAGCTGATGTTTTAAAAGATTGTAAACTATTGGGTATTATATAGCTTGATTGATTATTTTCGTGACACTAAATATTTTTTTATTTTGAAAAAAAGAGTATGAGAGTTGAGTAGTAAGATAATGTTGCGTGAGGGTGGTACTAAATAAATCACCCAGTCGATTTAAGATACTGGAGATCGAAAATAAAGTCAAGGAGACCGGAAGTTCTTATATTACTTCTATGTATTTAACTGAATTATTATTATTATTATTATTATTATTATTATTATTATTATTATTATTATTATTATTATTATTATTATTGTTATTATTATTATTTTTCCAGGTAGTAGCCCTGGACGGGGTGGTAGTAGCATAAAATAAAAAATTTGCTATTTTCTATCAATTTGTAATATTCTTACAAATTTGATGTATATACATTAGAAATTAACTTTTTTTTTTTTTTAATTTAATAAATTATTTAATAATTTTGATAATAAAATTATAATTAAATTGATAACAAATATAAATAATGCTGTGAAGCGGGAAAGAATAGAAGTTACGGATAATTATTACGTGAAGCGTTCCAACACTCACGTAACAGGATAATTGGTAGGAAAGGATTGAGAAAGAATTGTGGAGAGGATCATCTTAATGTGAGTGTATAGAATATGTGAGAAAAAAAAAATTATTAGATAGCTCGGACAGAAAAGTTAATTTCTAATGTATATACATCAAATTTGTAAGAATATTACAAATTGATAGAAAATAGCAAATTTTTTATTCTATGCTACTACCACCCCGTCCCATGGCTACTAACACAGCGCCGGGGAGGGGGAAAGTGAGTTCGACCGAAATCACCGCTGTCGATCTTACAGCAACAAAGTTAATTTCTAATGTATATACATCAAATTTGTAAGAATATTACAAATTGATAGAAAATAGCAAATTTTTTATTCTATGCTACTACCACCCCGTCCCATGGCTACTAACACAGCGCCGGGGAGGGGGAAAGTGAGTTCGACCGAAATCACCGCTGTCGATCTTACAGCAACAAAGTTAATTTCTAATGTATATACATCAAATTTGTGAGAATATTACAAATTGATAGAAAATAGCAAATTTTTTATTTTTATGCTACTCACCACGACCACCCCGTCCAGGGCTACCAATGTCTCGACGCCTTAACAACTGCTAGGCTACCACGGCAGTTTATTATTATTATTATTATTATTATTATTATTATTATTATTATTATTATTATTAT